ACTAAATAAGCCCCAGGAAGTCCAAATACAATTTCCCATGATAATTTAGCCACTGTATGCAGAGTTGTTTGGCAATGGTGGCGATGATGACTGACAGCCTAAAGGCACGTGGACATTTTTGTTGTGACTATATTAGTATTAATCATCTCATTGTTACTTACTATGGAAAAACAAATTGCTTTTCCTCATGGGCATAAGTCTCATTCCAAACAAGGTAAATATTTAGTAAACATCTCATGTAACTTTCCGGTTTATGATCACTTTGATTATTCTACCAGGCTTATTGTGCCCTCTACTGTCACTCAATAGAAAGTACAGCCACGTGAATATCTTCGCATGAATAAATGAGTCCTATAGAATGAGGCGTTCCCGGCTATATTAAACTATGATGATTTTTCAGTTGTTAGTGCTTCTACCTTGCAGTACTGGGGACCCCTGGTTCGAATCCCGGCCAGGTCACTATCCGCAAAGGAATAGTGATGGGCCAAACACACCCAAGTTCGGTTCGAGTTAGAACTTTCGAACATGAAAAAAGTTTGAACTGGAACTTCGAACTCAATGCAAGTCTATAGAACTTTACAAAAAGGGCCCGGAATGCAGCAACAAAACGTGCCAAAACACACGCACCGAAACTCATGCAGATCTGGTATGCATTTGGTGTGAACAAGCCCTAAAGTTTTGCTGATCTTCTTGTAGCCTTCACGTTTCTTCACGTTGTAAATAAATTATTTTCTTTCTCAGGCCTTTGACATTTCTTTTCCAGAAATGACAGCATGAAATGGGAAGGGGTTTTCTTTGATAAGTAATGCCCTTTTATAATCAGCTGTCTGCTAAGCACCTGTTTAAAGTGACATTAAAGTAAAAAGAAAATTCCCTCCCCCCAATGTTAATGTCAGCACTTAACTTAAATGATGTCTCTTATTCCGATCTTCTTCTTCTTTCCTGATGTTTTCATCTGTCCCTCCAGCGCAATGCGGCTCTCTGATCCAGCGCTGACTGCTCTGTCTCCAAGATCCAGCGGTGTCTGCATGCGGGTGCACGCGTCCATACACTTACCTTGCGTCTCTGCTCGTCTCCCGGCCGAGAATCCGAACTGCGCATGCGCCCGCCCCAAGATGCTTTGCGGCCGCCCGAACAGTTTCGTTTTCTCGGGCGGGAGCGCGCAAAGAAAAAAAGGTAAGTTTAAACCGCTGTTTTAGCAGTTTTTTAAAAACTCTTTGCCTATATCTACTGCTTGATAGCAGTAGATATAGGCAAAAAAAACAGGAGGGTTTAGAACCCCTTTAATTAATAATAATTCTCACCTGTAGTTGAATTCTTGTTAATTAGGATTTTGTTGTCTATAATTTAGCTTTGCTCCTATGACTTTCATTGGGGTCTATTTATTTTTGCAACATGGTCTTGAATGATTTTGTTAGGAAAAAATACTTTTTTGTGTGTGCAAATTAACAAATCTTGGTTGCAATCAATGGGCTGCATTTGTGGGAGTATTTTCTAGTATAGTGTCCCATAGAAAATGTTGATTCTGAAAGGAAAGTAAAGGTTTTCTGACAAATCTGTTGGGGTGTACTCATTTATGCTGAGCACTATATATATTTAAAGCTGGAGCTCAGATTTACATTTTATATACATTTGGGTCAGGGGAGGACGCCAGTTTGTGTCCTCCCGTGACCCTTAGGAGAACTCTGGAGAAAAACACTTACCCCATAGTTCTCCTTTAAGGAATGAATCTACCCAATGGCTACAGAAACAGTAATAAAAACCTGACATAAGTTCTAACCTTTCTCTACACTATCCAAATAAATAAAAAGGAAATATAATTTTTACATGGAGTGGTGATCCTTTAAAAAGACACATAAATGCGACACATACAACCTTGATTGAACTACTTTTTATGCACACAAGCTACATGTAATGTAGATATATACATTTTATGGAAAAAAGAACTTTACATACTTAAAACAGCAAGGGAATGGATTTGTTCTATAACTCATGTTCTGTCAAAACTGTTCACACCAAACTAAAATTTTGTAATATGAGTACTGAAATGAGAAAGATATTCCTTTGAAAATGATATGTTATAAAGGAAAGGCACAAGTGTAAAGTGGCCTTCAGAGATCTTAATCTGTGTCAAATTTTCTTTCTACTCAATTCGATGTACAGATGTCAGAAAATGTTGGTTGGAGATGAATATCCTGCTGTTTGGTACATTAAGATATTCTTCTCTTACAGCACATCACATTAGTTATGTATTGATAGCGACTCTTTCCCTTCTCTACAAAAAAAAATTCAGGCAGCTGCACCCTGTAATAATGAGTCCATTCTTCGCTCTCTCTCTTTATACACCCTGGATAGTGGGTGCTCCAAAGGGTGCCCTGGTTTCTCCTGCTGGTCTCTATATCACTATAGGACTCAACAGCAGTGGGAGAAGCCATGGCACCCAGCGGGGGGCACACTAACAGACACACACAGAAATTTTGGATAGCAGCAGTGCTCCTATTCTATTCTTTTTTTAACCAGTGAAATATAAACTATTTCATTTAAAAATTCCTTAATTACCACTTGCAGCCAGCAGGTGGTGGTCTATGTGAAGTCTAATCTTTGTGCCATCTCTACTTTTCAAGCAGCAGTTCCATATGAGTCAGAGGACCTCCGCTCTAGCTAGCAAAGATGTCAACATCTTAAAAGAAAACTATTAGGGATTTGGATCAATTTTTTTCTATTATAGTTTTATAAAATTATATTTTATATTTAGTTTTTACTATATAGATAAAATCTTTATTATACAAAAAAAAATTAATAGATGACAACAGATTCTAAGAGCACTATATGTCATCTAAACAGACGCCATTGCAGTAGTTGCCTTGTAGGAGTCTCAGAGCACTATATGTAAGCTAAACAGACACCATTGCAGTAGTTGCCTTGTATGGCAGTTGCCTTGTATGAAACCTCAGATGGAGATGTCCAGTAAGTGATGTCATTCACACGTACATTTCAGCTTGAACTACTGAGGTCTGTAAACAATAGGCTTTGTACAACAGGTGGTAAAAAGATACTGGAAACATCTGAAAAGGGATGAAGAGTTCTACCTGCTGAATAAATATGAGAATGTGTAATATTCATATATAAAAGGTAATATTTTAATATTTACTTGGGGAAAAAAAGAAAACTATATCATGTTTAAGAAAAATTTAAATAAAAGGAAAGAAAAAAGTAAAAGAAAAGAAAAAGGAAAATAAAAGGAAATGAAAGAAACAGGAAAAGGAAAGAAAAATAAAATAAAAGGAAATGAAAGAAAAAAAGAGAAATGGAAAAGGAAAGAAAGAGGAAAAAATAAATAAAAGGAAATGGAAAAAAAGGAAAAGGAGAGAAAAGAAAAAAGAAGGAAAAAGAAAGTAAAATGAAATGAAAAAAGGGGAAAAGAGAATGAAAGGAAATGAAAGAAAAAGAAAAGGAAAAGAAGTGGAGAATGAAAGAAAAGGAAAAAAAAAAGGAAATGAAAGAAAAAGGAAAAGAAGAAAAAGGAAAGAATAAAGGGAAATGAAAGAAAAAAGAAAATAAGAGAAAGAGAAAATGAATAGGAAAGTAAAAGGAAAAGAGAAGAAGAGGAAATGGAAGAAAAAGGAAACAAAGAGAAATGGAAAGAAAACAGAAAGAAATATAAAAGGAAATAAAGGAAAAAGTTAAAGCAAAGAAAAAGCAAAAGAAAAGAAAAATGTAAATGTAACAATTTTACATACTTGTTTTTCCATGTTTTCAATATCCGTGTCATTGTAATGTGCATGCCTGGCCAGGACAGTAACGACTTGCATCGCTGGATGTAAACAAACAGCGGAACCGAGGGCACATATACGCGGCATGTTTACAAGTACTATTTACAAGTGTCCCATTGCACTCCTGACTGGAATCCCTTAGTCATATACTGGAAGGGTGCTGATTGACGGATGTCACCGCACAGATGCAAGTATAAAGAAGTAGTCACCTGCACACCAAGGTCCCAGGCATCAGACCGGAATTCCTTAGTCATATACTGGAAGGGTGCTGGGAGGGAAGCGGATGTCACCGCACAGATCCAAGTATAAAGAAGTAGTATGCAGCACACCAAGGTCCCATGCATCAATGCGTCCTTTTATTGACCTCAGATACATGTGGCATCACAAGCATAAAGCAACGTTTTGGAACCTAACATGGTCCCAAACTGATTTTTGCCTGATGAAGGTTATGTTAGCTTCCGAAACAAAGCTTTATGCTTGTGATGCCACGTGTATCTGAAGTCAATAAAAGGACGGATTGATGCATGGGACCTTGGTGTGCGGGTGACTACTTCTTTATACTTGCATCTGTGCTTTTTTTATGTTTGCAAGTACTGGCGTACAGGCATTGGGGAGAAGTCATAAAAACTGGAGCAGACAGTATCTAGAACAGTTGCCCATGGCAACCAGTCAGCTTCTCTCTTCACTGTATTCAATTAAGCCTTACAAATGAAATGAAGAAGCTGATTGGTTGCCATGGCAACTGTTCTAGATTCTGTCTGCTCCCGTTTTTATTACATTTATGGGAAGCTGTAAGCAGCACCTGTGGCTCCATGGCGGGATATAATACGCCAGTGTTTACCCTGTACGGCCTTGGACACCCACAGACATGAGCCCTAAAGCCATAGACATCTGGAGGCGAAATGTAACCTTTTTTTATCTTTACCAGGAAATAACAGCAGAATACTATTTTAGCCTTTTTTTTTAAATAATAGGCCTTAGATTAATACACACCATACTAATTTGATATATTTTGAAAATTCACAAATACTTTCAAAGAGTCACATATGAGTTTGAATGTGTATAATATTATACACATATAAAATGAATAATATTAAAACAACAATTTTATCAAGTAAAATGTGAATACATGCTCAGTGTGGGTGCAGGGGGCTGTGACCGGAAAGACTACATCTCCCATGATGCAGTGCGCGGACGCACGCTGAAGACGTTTTACGTATCGGCGCTGGTGGCCATGTTGGCGGAGTGTTGTGCGCAGGCGCAGAAGTGTGCGAGTGGCGAGCTGATGTAAGAGCGGAGACCGGAGGGAAGTGCTCAAGCCGGGTGTCGGTGGCAGTAAGATTTACACGTTATCCTCGTTCATATACAGAGCAGGTGGAGATCGGCGGAGGGACCTACCGGCAACATGTCTGGGGACGAGGTGAGTGAGGCCGGAAGTGGATACACGAGGTGCCGGGACATGTGCGCCGGCTGCAGAGGGAGGCCTGGGGCCTACGGCATGGCGGGGATGGGGCAGTCCAGGGTGTAGCCCTCGTTGCCCAGGCTCATGGCAGAGAAGGGGGCTCTATAGTGTTCTTGAGCTCTCCAGTCCCTGCAGGTCATGTGATCCCATCTACTGACAGGCGTCTGTCCTGGCTGATCAGTGTAGTATTGCTTAGAGGAGCAGCAATGTGCAAATCGCCTCCAGCTTCCATTCTTATATCCTCTGTCGGCTAATGTCACTCTGGGGAACCAAGATTTACTTCTGTACATGTGGAGTTGCTGCTCTTTGCACATCCCAATCAGGCTTTAAGGCAGGAGTGGGCAGCTCTGACCCTCCAGCTGTTGTGGAACTACAAGTCCCATGAGGCATTGCAAGACCCTTGGCAGCCACAGGCCTGACTCCCAGAGGTAGAGAGATGTTGGGATTTGTAGTTAAAGCAGAGCTGGAGGGCCAGAGTTGTTCACCCCTGCTTTAAGTATTCACCTTTCCACACTAGATTTACAGACAGGTTAAGGAGAGGGGTGCTTGGCCTACAGGTGTACCTTGGAAGTTGAGCATCTTTATAAAAACCTGATTTTTATTAGAATTCAGAAGCTGGAATGCTTAGGGAATTCTTTTTGGAAAGGTAATGTAAAGTAGTGCTGCAGCTAACGATTATTTTCAAAATCGCTTAGTTGGCCGATTATTAAGTTTGATTGATCGGATTAAAGGAGAACTATGGGGCTAGTGCTTTTCCCCATAGTTCTCCTTAAGGGTAACGGGAGGATACAAACTAGCGTCCTCCTGTCACCCTAAACTCAGTATACCGCAAGCTATAGCTTGCGGTATACTGAGACGCCGCAGTATACCGCAAGCTACAGCTCACGGTATACTGAGACGCCGCAGCTGAAGAGGATCCCGACAATTATGTCTGGATCCGCCCAGCTGCATGAGTGAGCTGGCTCTGCCTATCTGGAGGCAGAGCCAGTTGTACCCTCCCCCGTCCGTTCCGCCAGTCAGCGCTGGAGAATCGGAGGGGGGAATCCAGCCCCTCCCCTGTCACGGCAGAGAGCCGTGACAGGATCGAGAGGTGAGCGAACCCGGTATGTGTTCTCTCACCTCCCGATCTACTGAGCCGACCTGTGACAGTCTCATTGTCACAGGTCGGCTAGAATATGAGGTGAGTGAAAAGCACTCGCCTCATAGTTCTCCTTTAAAAGAATGGCTCCAGTGATGGACTACTAGTTTGTATTGGGATTGTAGTCCATCACAGGAGCAAGCTTGGAGCGGTGAAAGTAAAAAATAAAATAAAGTGTGTAAGTAATATAGGGAAATGGAAAGTGTAAAATTATACAGCAATCAATGCAGAATGGCACTGGCTATAGAGGAATACAACTCATCCCAGCAATAATACATTATACAGTGCAATGCGGAATACCACCAGCTATAGAGGACTACAAATCCCAGCAATAATACCTTATAGCTGGGGAATTATGCATTGCGCTATATAGAGGAATACAACAAATCCCAGCAATACTGTGTTTCCCCGAAAATAAGACACTGTCTTATATTTTTTTTGGCTTAAAAAAACACACTAGGTCTTATTTTCGGGGTAGGTCTTATTTTTTTTTTGTATAACAATCCAAAGTTAATGTAAATCCAAATTAAATAATCCAAAATGGCAAAGTTAAGAATAGGGTGATCAGGGCAATCGGGGTGCCATACCTTTCCAAGAGCAATTTGGTGACCAGAATGAGCGAAGCGCGCTTTCACTATCGATTACTCACAGGCGGAGTGATACCAAATACACTCCGCCTATGGAGCCGGCACTATAGAGGAAGCATCGGCTTGTGCGGCTCTGCTCCCTCTGGTGCCGCCTCGCTTCCTCTAGCGCTGGCTTAATTGGCACCACTGATTCTCTCCCGCGGCTCTTCAAGTTCCCCGTTATGCAACCACCGGCCCTGGGAATGGTCACAACTAGGTCTTATTTTCGGGGTAGGTCTTATATTTTAGCAATTTCCAAAAATGGTACTAGGTTTTATTTTCGGGAAACAGGGTAGTACACTATACAGCACAATGCAGAATATACCATCAGCTATAGACCAGCAATCCATTATACATGCAGATTCCTCCATCAACACTCACAAGCGCGGATGGAGGAATCCGCCGCTGTTTTGCATTGTGTCCTGGCAGTGGCTGCCGACCTCTGTCAGAATGCCTGAGGCTAGATTCAGATATCGGCAGGATCGTGCACAATTGCACACAGCGGTTGCCACGCGGCCCCATTGACTTCAATGGGGTTACATCCGTGTGGCAATAGCTAAAATAATTATACATGTACCAGTTTTTGCGGCACAGAACTCGCTGCTTTTTTGTTGCAGCGATCATGTTCAATTGCACAGGCGGTATCGCGACGGGAAATTGCGCGATCTGGCTAGCATGACTGGGGTGCCATAAGAAAATAATGGCACCACCAGCATGCTCGACGGTGGTGGGCGATTCCGTGACCGCGCGGTCATGGATCACCATAGTGTTAACCTAGCCTGAACAGAGATTGCAGCTGATTGAGTGCTGGCTCCATTCGACTGAGAATTTTCCAACCTGCTCTTTTGATCAGGTTATCAAGGGATGTCGGTGGAAGGATGTTGACAGCGGCAGCCACTGTGCGGATTTTGGCTGGTTCATCAAGAACAGGCCAAAATGCGCACCGTGTATACCTTACTTAAACCTTTTTAAGGCAGGGGTAGGTAAACTCCGGCCTTCTAGCTAGGAGCAACTACAATTCCCATTAGGCAATCCGTGGCTATGACAGCCACAGGTGTGACTCCCAGGGGCATGATGGGATTTTGTTTCCCCGCACCTGGAGTTTTACTAATTTTTACTGAGATTGTAGTCCGTCACCGGAGTGAGCTTGTAGCGGTGACTTCTTTACAACACATTCCTATGGGAGGACCATCCACTATACATTCTGACTCTGCATGGCCTTCCCAGGATAAGTTATCAGCAGAGCGTAGACAGGTAAGAAGAATGTTTGGGTGAAAACATCACCATCCTTGCAGTCAGATCTCTGGGAATGTGAGTATCCCAAATCTAGTGAGAAGATGCTCCAGCACAGCATTCTCTGGGATCTAGGTGGAAACATCTTGATTTCTCCCTCACCTAGGCTCCACAGGGTTGAAGCTGAGAGCTGGGAAGACAAATGACACTTTTTCAGCCAGTCTGTCCAATCCAGGAGCCAGCAGGATTTTTTAGGAGTCTGCTTCATTGACAAGAGAAAATCTCAAAAGTTAGGTACCCTCTGTAATTTGTAAGGAGCATTGGCTGCCTAGATTTGTCTAGCCCCCGGTAAGTTAAAGGAGAACTATGAGGTGAGTGAAAATCACTCCTCCTCATAGTTCGAGCCGACGTGTGACAATGAAACTGTCACAGGTCGGCTCAATAGATCGGGACGTGAGTGATCACATACCGTCGCTCGCTTCTCAATCTTCTCCCTGCAGAGAGCCGTGACTGTCAGTCACCGCTCCCTGCAGGGATTCCCCCCTCTCCGATACTCCAATGCTGAGTGTAGGAAGGGATAAGGGAGCGGGCGGGTACAGCTGGCTCTGCCTCTAGATAGGCAGAGCCGGCTGTCACTCACGCAGCTGGGTGGATCTCGACAGTAATGTCGGGATCCGTCCTGGCTGCGGCGGTCTCAGTAACAGCTCGCGGTATACTGAGCTTTGGGTTACGGGAGGAGGTTAGTATGTGTCCTCCCGTGACCCTTAAGAGAACTCTGGGGAAAAACACTTACCCCATAGTTCTCTATTAAGTATATTATTTTTTTTCTCCCATGTAATTTTTTTAATTTATTGCCGCTATTTATTATGGAGGAAGGGGTCCTAATGTAATAAGTGAACCTTGCTTTTCTATAAGGTCTGCTTTAAGAAAGTGGTGACATGCCATGCTATAGATGTTGGGGCAGATGTCTCACGCTTGCATTCTCAGAGAGACATCGGCCTCTCTGTCACTATTCTATTAAGGCTTGTCAGCAAGTTTCATTTCCATGTTACCCTTTCATAACCCGGCTGAGTCAGTTTGGGACAGCATTGTTAAATGAAGAATTGGCAGTTACAGCGGCCGTCAGTTCAAAACAGATAAGAGCTCATCGGCTGTGAGGGGAAAAGGATTATTTGAAAGATAATGTTGACGACTGATATTCTTAGGTTATCGGCACACGTTATTTAGAATCATACCTGTGTGTTAATCCTCGTCTGCAAGCTTAATACCTCACTCTCCTGGGCTGCACACTGGATTCTGATGCATTGCCACTGAACCTATTCAACTTCAGTTTGGGCAATGCCAGTGTTTGGAATGGGCATGCATGATGGGAGTTGAAGAATTGTAGCATCTATCTGAACCTTGATGCACAAGTTAAAGGTTTGCTTAATTTTATATCTTCCTGGCTTGATCAGCCTCTACTCAGAAAGTTCATTGGTTGTGTCACTATACAGTTTGGCACAGCAAAGCACACTGGGATTGCCTTGTCATCAGCAGAGCATTGCTGGGAAATCTCTGTAATCTCAGGAGATCTCATGGAAAGGCATTTTCCTCCCCTGAGATCATGTGCATGGTCACATGTCCTAGTCACATGTGCCAGAAATCCAGTAATAGGAGATAGTGTAATCTGCCCTTAGTGAACATGGCCACTGTCAGAAGACTGGGGAAGAAAAGAGAAATAAGGAATACCTAGAAGTATGTGTTTGTAGGTAGACATTTTTAAAGGTGTCTTTGTTGTTATTTTTAAAATTTGGGTAAAGGTCCGGTTTAAACAAAGATATTTTCATTTTGCTTACAAATTCTTGTTATCTACCTCCTGGTCCTCTTTGGCAAAAGTGATGTAATTGTGCCCAAGCTTTGCATCCTGGAAAGGTTATATCAGCAGATCATTACTGGGAAATCTCATCTGTAATCTCATGAGATCTCAGGGAAAGGCATTTTCCTCCCCCGAGATGGTGCATGGTCACATGTCCCAGAGTTCCAGCAAGTAAAGGGAGATAGATTAATCTGCCCTTAGTTAAAATGGCCACTGTTAGAAGGATGGGGAGGAAAAGAGAAATAAGGTATGCAGAGAATAAAGATCCTGCAATTATCTAGAACTATGTGCTGGTAGATTGTCATTACTAAACATTTGTGAAGGTGCCTATGTTGATATTGTCAAAATATTAATAAAGTTTCTCTTTAAGTCAGAGGAAGTCATTGCCCAGTAATAGATACTAGATTGATGTGACTGTGCAGCATGTAAAGAGCTGCGTAAATTGTCAGCGCTATATAAATACCTGAAATATTAATAAACAATGGAGAGAATTAAACTAAATCAGGGAGGTGCTCAGATGCAGTTTTTCTGTGTAATACAGATAATAGGCATCCTGTGCTGTCTACTGCTAGGCAGAAGCTTTACTTCCACACATTAAAAGAAGCACAGGTCCACTTAAACACAATTTCATTAGTTACTATGATTCAGAGATGTTAATAGGAGCTGCCGTCATAAATTCAGTGTTTCCAGCTTGTTGCATTATCCTCTTGAGTGACATCATTCTTGGTTTGCTTGTCGTTGCATCATTTTGGCTTTTGATTATTTTGGTGTGAGTTGATGAGGAGGTATAGCAGGGCTGGACAAATCTTTATAAATGACAGCTGGCACCTAACTAGTTGTTGTCAATGGAGCTGGCTCCTACTGCTCCTGGATTGTACAGACTGTGTCCTGAATCCCATATTCAGGGCTTGAAAAATCCACTCGTCTGCTCGTCAGTGACGAGAGGACGGTGGAGCCCGACGAGCAGCTTCCCGGCCGGCCGTTGTAATTAGCCGGCCGGGAGCTTTACAGTCTAGCGATCGAGCGTCTCGAGAGACGTTCGATCACTTGTATCAGCAGCTGTCACTGCCGTTGCCGGTCCCCAGATCCGCTGTGCCCGATGCGGCTGGGACCGGCACGGCTCTGTGACAGGAGATCAAAGGGAGTTCAGTACACGAACTCCCTTTGATCTCCTCTCAGTCCCCGAATGCAGGAAGTGATGTATATTACATCACTTCCTGCATTCAGTGTCACTCTCCAGCTAGAGAAGCTGATGAAGCCGATCTCTGCTTCATCAGCTTCTCTGGAGGTCCCTAGGTGACTTTAGGGGTCTTGGAGACCCCTGATGTCTCCATAAAGAGGACCTGTCATGTAAATTGGCTATCCCATAGGGGGCTTCTTAGCCCCCATGTAAGCAATAAAGTTGTGTGTGTAAAAAAGAAAAATACAAAAATGAAACATTCATTACAAAAAAATAAAGCATAACATTAATTTTTTTTAAGTCCCCGCCCCCGACATACACACACATATATGCGTCATGTGCGCCTACATGCCGCACATGTTGCATATTGCTGCAAACGTCGGAGTGAGAGCAGTAATTTTAGAGCCATTAAGGCCGGGTTCACACCTGGGCGTTTTACAGCGCTTATCGACGTGCTGTAAAACGCCCAGCAAATGAAATCCCATTATTTCCTATGGACATGGTTCTCACTTGGGCGTATTTCAGCGCGTCGGAACGTGCTGAAAAACGCCCTATGCCCAATGAAGTACAGGAGCTTTTTTTGGGCGTATTTCCGCGCGTATCCATTAGGATACAGCCGGATAGCCCTCGTAAACGAGCGTTTGACGCATATTTCGAACGCCTAGGTGGGAACCCAGCTTAGAGGAGAACTATGAGATGAGTGCTTTTCACTCACCTCATAGTTCTAGCCGACCTGTGACAATGAGACTGTCACAGGTCGGCTTAGTAGATCGGGAACCCATATTAATGTGTCCACTCCTGTTCAATAACAGGTAAAGATGTCACCAGCACTCCAATCCTTGTAATTATTGAGCCTGATGAAGGGGACCCTGTGTGGCCCCCGAAAGCGCTTGTCTTTATGACTTGTGTTAATAAAATGGATCTGCACTAATGTGGATTAGGCTGCTGGTGACATCTTTATCTGTTATTGTATCTGGAGTGGCGCCATCCGCAGTCATTGCAAACACCCAATATTGGGTCAGACCGGTACGGAGTGCAGCAAGGTTTATGGACTTCACCCCTGTTCAACGGCCCCAGTTAACATCTGAGCATTCTGACGCTTGTAGCAAAGAGCCTGTAGCTTGAAAAAGAACCCAGACCTCTTTTGGAGCATTGTGAAGCATTTTGGCTTTACACCAGAACTATGGGGTAAGTGTTTTTCCCCATAGTTCTCCTTAGGGTCACGGGAGAACACAAACTAGCGTCCTCCCGTTACCCTAAGCTCAGTATACCGCAAGCTACTGAACGCGGTATACTGAGACGCCACAGCTGGGGTGCATGCCGACATTACTGTCGAGATCCACTCAGCTGCGTGATTGACAGCTTGGCTCTGCCTATCTAGAGGCAGAGCCAGCTGTACCCTCCCCCGTCCGTTCCGCCACTCAGCACTGGAGGATCGGAGTGGGGGAATCCCTACAAGGAGCCATGCGTGACAGTCATGGCTCTCTGCAGGGACAGGATCAAGATGTGAGCGAGCGACAGTATGCGTTCGCTCACTTCCCCATCTATTGAGCCGACGTGTGACAGTTTAATTGTCACAGGTCGGCTCGAACTATGAGGCTGAGTGATTTTCACTCACCTCATAGTTCTCCTTTAATTGAATGTGTGCAAATTGCCTGTACAAATGCTTTTTTTTGGCCTATATCTAATGCCATCAAGCGTTAGATATATGCAAAAACATAAAAAAAAATTAAAAAGTTACCAAACTTGTCTCCGCCGCTCGCTCCCGTCTGAAGATCCGAAAATTCTCGAGCGGCCATGAAGGATCATGGGGCGGGCGCATACGCAGTAGAGATATTCAACAAGGGAGAAGAGGAGAGACACAGGGTAAGTCACAGACATGTAAAGCATGTTGGGCTTTTTCATAAGAAAGCCCAGCAACACCTTCCATGCTATTATTTCTATCTAAGGTCTGGAGTGTCCCCATTCATGTCTATGTTCAGTAAAGCAGCTTAGAAGAATATGCTTCATATAGATTCATAGAATTTGCATGGAGCTCCACCTTCTGGCACAAGTAGAACCTAAGTCTTGACACATGTAGTCAGTATTGAACGGCAGGTGCAGCAGGGTTTGTGTACCCCAAAGATGGAGGGAAATGAAATGATACTGATTTTATGTCTTATCCTTCTAGATGATTTTCGACCCTACTATGACCAAGAAGAAAAAGAAGAAGAAGAAGCCTTTTATGTTGGATGAAGAGGGAGAACAGCAGGTGGAGGAGACCCAGATCCCTGAAACGAAAGAGGCAGAACCAGAACCAGTGGAAGACAAGGATGCGGACGCAGATGATGAGTCATATAGGAAGAAAGGTGCAGTGTAGTCCTGGTTTGCTTTCCTTTGTTGGACTCTATCCCGGCTTTTAATTTCACTTTTAATGTGTTGTTAGTGTTTGCAGTTTCTTTGTCAATGCAATGAATATATCTGGAATGTGTGATGTTCCTAGTCACAGTGACTGGAGCTGGTGTATCTAAACCCCAAAACAAAGCCTTTTATTGAGCTGATATTTTTGCTCTGTGGTAGATGAATCACAATGTGTAAAGCTGGCCATACACCTATAGATTTTATACGTCAGATGGGAAAAGTGCAACCGATTCCTCCATCTACGCTAAACTGTGTGCATGGCGGAATCTCCCACTGAGCCAAGCTTCAGTATTTCGCTAGTCATCCTTGCAGGCTCTCAAAATGCCTGCATCCAATCAGAGTGTTCAGGTTTTTTGAGAGCCAGCGGGGCCAACTGGCAAGATAATGAAGCTTGGTCCAGTGGGAGATTCCTCCATCCACACAGTTTAGCGGAGGTGGAGGAATCTGTTGTACTTTTTCCATCTGAACATAGAAACTCTGCAGATAATCTATAGGGGTATGGCCAGCTTAAGAGTAAGGATGTTGTTAGTGTTCGCAGCTCCACATGCCGAGCCCGCCAGGAAGCTGACAGCGCGCAGTGCCAATCACAGGTACTGAGACATTTTCCCGGTCCGCAACTGCAGAGATCGGGAAATGTCTCAGTGCCTGTGATTGGTGCTGTCAGCTTCCTGGTGGGCTCGGCACGTGGAGCTGCGAACACTCCCGAGCCAATCCTTACTTAAGAGGAAACAAAATAAATGGGAGGAGAGTCCCACACTTCAACAACTTAAGATTAGAGATTCTCTTTCCTCATGTTATATCCTATTGATGCACCTGCCAGCTATTTAAATCCTATCTCTGGGCAAATTATTAAAGTGACTCTAAACTCAGGAGTTAAATCTTAAAAATGCATTCACGTACCTGAACTATTAATAATGCATCTTATTTCCGTATCACTCGGCTGTAAATCCTCAAATCATCTCTGAATTGGTGCTGACACTGTCCTTCCTTCTGGAGGGGGGCTGCTTTTATTCCCCGTGGCCCTGTGTGTGTGTGTCTTACACTAGCCACAACTCCAAGCTCGCTCCCGTGATGGACTACAATCTCCCATTTTAGTTTACTCATTTGTATTGAGATTGTAGTCCACGGGAGCGAGCTTGGAGTTGTGGTTAGTGTAAGACACACACAGGGACCATGGGAAACCTTTTGTCTACCTCCAGAAGGAAGGACAGTGTCGGCACCAATTCAGAGATGATTTGAGGATCTACCGCCGAGTGATATGCAAATAAGATGCAGTATTGTTAATAGTTAAGGTACAAGAATGCATTTTAAAGATTTAACTTCTGTGTTTAGTGTCACCATAGCTTCCTCCTTAACTGATACTTGGCTTAAAAAAAAAAACCCTCAAAATGTTCTTTTTGCTAAAGTTGCAGTCACATGACCCTCCAGTCCCGAGTCTTTTTTGCCTCCTATTGTTTACATAAGTCGGGCTGCTTCATCGAGTGCTTGCATGACGTGGACACTTCCTATTGGCTGTCCAGCAGTAGGGCCCTCTCAGTATCCAGAATAAGATTAACATCTGTATAAGGGGACTTTAGAGGACCATACAGTGTGAGCACATCTTTAGCGCTGGATTAACTATACCCTACTCCTAAAAACAGTGCTGGTGAGGGTGCCAGCTGGTGGACATAGGTGAGTATAACTTTCTTCACATGGCAAGGAGGAAACTGCAATGGGGGGGGGGTTAATATTTGCCCAGATATGGACTTAAAATTGCTTTGGTACTCTGTCAGGGAGAGTAGGGTGCTGTTGCCCCTAGCTGTAGCTGGGATTCCTTTAATTTGATAACTTGGTTTGGCCATGAAGCTAGTTAATTCCGATTTGGTAGTATTGGACTGCAAACCTACGATGGCAAAATCACCTTATTACAAATCTGATCTGTTACATGAAGGTAAAGGGGATGCTTTGGTGCCAGTTTTTCACTCTGACTATACTGATACTGGATATACCAAAATACTGATGTAAACTGCGATTTAAGCTTGGTCTTTGGACAGTTTCCCCAGATAATTCATTTCAACAAAAATCTTCCCATAAGATATGTGTATTTTATGTGTGTTATCTACCAGTAACAGTCCTTGAACCCATCGCACTCCTGACCGCTTTTTCCATATAGTGGCAACCGTTATCGTGCATAAATAGAAATCTGGACACAGTCACTCCAAATGCAGTACAAATGCGTCTATTTAATGACGGAAATGCACCAAGTGTGATGCGTGCTGCTTTTCTGTCAAATAGCCGCATTTGTACTGCATTTGGAGTGCCGGTGTCCAGATTTCTATTTATCTACCAGTAAAAGTCTCATGTGCAGATATCCAAAAGCCCAGAGACTGCTATTGGGCACCGCTAACTTGGATGCGATGTCAGCAGTCTCAGAGCTGTCAATTAAATGACGCTATATTTCCCTCATAAAAGGTACATAATATGTTATAATAGGGAGAATTATGACATTTAAGGAGCGAAGGGGCTGTACTAGGTAATTGACCAGCTTATGCATTAAAAACATTTGTGACTGGCTGAAAACATTTGATAAATAGACTCCTTTTAATCTTGAATGTATGACCACAGATGAAGCATAAGGTAATGTAAGAAAGCCTTTTGGATGCTGGGGTCTCCATGAAGAAACTGTTTTTTTTTTTTTTCTTAGATGCTCCCGATGACTTCAACGATTTGAACTTTTTGAATCAGAAGAAGAAGAAAAAGAAGACGAAAAAGTTTGACGAAGAACCAGAAGAAGGCATTAAGGTAGAAAATGAATAGTTCACTTGCCTTTTTTCCCTGCTAGTGCCTGTTCAGGAATGTTGATTTCCATTGTGTCTCATTCATGACAGAATCTAAAGATTGAAGATGAACTGCAGGAGGCCTCAGAGTCCCAGGAGGATGACCTGGAATTCATGCTGACAAAAAAGAAGAAAAAGAAGAATGTGAAGTTCCCAGATGATGTCGACTTTATTGATAAAGATGAAGGTACATTTTAGAGGCTATAGCTGAAGATGAGCATTAGGCCTCGTTCAAACCAGAACCCAGTGTGTTCTGGCCCGAGTCTGGTGTGAACGAGGCCTCAACGTGCCCAAATTGCTGACCATTGCGAATGGCAGCCATATCTAGTTTGCTGGCTACTGAGCCCGATCCTGAGTGCTTTCACTGACCCGAAGCAAGTATTAAAGGAGAACTATGGGGTTAAGTCTTTTGCCCATAGTTCTCAGGGTAACGGGAGGACAGAAACTAGCGTCCTCCCGTCACCCCAGCCTCAGTATACCGCGAGCTGTAGCTCGCAGTATACCACGAGCAGCTGCTCGTGGTATACTGAGACGCCGCAGCTTAAGCGGATCCCGACAATTGTGCCGGGATCCACCCAGCTGCGTGACTGACAGCTGGCTCTGCCTATCTAGAGGCAGAGCCAGCTGTACTCGCCCCGTCCGTTCCACCAGCCAGCGCTGGCGGATCGGAGTGGGGAGGGGGGAATCCAGCCCCTCCCCTGTCACGGCAGAGAGCCGTGACAGGATCGAGAGGTGAGCAAACGCCGGTATGTGTTCGCTCACCTCCCGATCTACTGAGCCGACCTGTGACAGTCTCATTGTCACAGGTCGGCTAGAACTATGAGGTGAGTGAAAAGCACTCGCCTCATAGTTCTCCTTTTAAGCCCGTGACACACTGCATGCGCAGCGGTGTGGAGCAAAGCTGTCAATCATGGAGGTTCGCATGCAGTGTGTGAACTGTGCACGGCCAGATGAAAGACCTGGCTATTCCAACCAATCAGATGTTGTGTGTTTATACGCACGAGCCGATTGGCTGAAGATGACATTTTTATTCCCGTCAGCTATGTGAGCTCCCGCAAGTTAACGTGCCGGAGTGAAAAATGACATGACACATTGCACGCACCACCGCTGCTTCGCGTGCAGTGTGTCCACACAATGTGATTAAAGATCAGGAGTTCTGATGCCATTTGCTGCATATTTGTTTTAGGTCAGTGACCAAGAAACTCCAGGTGCCAACCAAAGAAAGTCCAACCACGCTCTATAACTCAGTAGAAAAGTAGAAGTTGCACACTGATGACATATGCGGACATAGCACACTGCAGCTTCGTCTCCAGAGATTGGCGGTCTTAGGCGGGGCTGCAATGTGCTATGTCCTGGTTTCATAAAGTTGGATGTGATATGATGTCATCAGTGAGCGACTTCCTGCCTTTCTACTTGGGGACCAAGAAACTGTTTAAGACCAGGCAGCCATTTTCTGAAGGATCCATTCTACTTCTTGTTCCTATGGGAGCAGCACAGTTGTGACAGGAAGGGAGCTCTCTCTAATGCGGACGCAGTCAGTAAATAAACAAAGTCCAGCGATTATTTCCCTTCCCCACTCTGTCCAAATTTATTTTAGAAATGGTTAATTGGCCTTTAGACTTGGGAAAAGTGGAAGAGTGACTACTGAATATGCTCTTCCCGTTTTATTTATGCCTAAGGTGCCTATACAGTGGGTGAATTTTGGACGGTTTTTAATGTACCGGCCTAAATTTGCACAGTGTGTGGGGCTGTCGGGCCCCCTTTCAGCCGGGATTCCATGATCAGCTGATCGAAGGAGTCGGCTGGAAAATGTTCATACAGTCGGAACTGGCAGCCAATGTGCTGCCCGCTCTGATTGGGTTTTCCGACAGGTGGCGGCGGTACCTGTCAGAGTACAATGCAAACAGAGGTGTCCACTATTGACTGACGGGGCACGACAGTAATGTTGGGATCCACCACATCAGCCTGACAGCTGGTTTTGCCTCTTTTGCATAGCTGAGAGCCAGAAACAAATCTCTTCTGTGGGGGGGACAGTGAAGAGACCAAGAGCTGACAGATCATCAATCATGTGATCGGTCAGCTTTTGGTCTTACAGCCCGAGACAACTGCAGTGTCCCACGCTGGCTTTAAGCTGCGGGAAGAGTATATTTTAGTTCACCCGTACTTCTACTTTAATCAAATATACAAAATGATGTCTTTCCCCTGCTTGCAGAAAGGCTTGTTGAGTCTAATACAGAGAGAAGAACATTTTAATTGCATTGTGATATGTTTCTTTCATTAGTCTTTTTTTACTTGCTGTTACTTTGCACATAAATGTAGCAGAAAGGGCTATTTGGGAAAGATCAGGTGTATGCACCTTAGGTTCAGGAGTCATGGGAGGGCTGTTTGTGTGCATACTCTTACATTTGTCTTGTGTCTTTCAGCCTTTGAAGAAGAGGACGGTAAAATAGATGATGGCATCTCCTTTAGTTCTTCCTTTGGGCCTGCATGGGCCGGCACAGAAAGGGATTACACTTACGATGAGGCAAGTTTAGAGTGCTATGGATTTACATTTGTATTAACTGTCATTTCATAGGTTGGTCAGACACTTCTAAATATCAAGGTACCCCCTTTTGAATTCTTCCTGATTCTGTCATGCAAAATATTCCAGGCTGGCAGTAATGCTTTAAGTTCTGTTGCTGAGTTATTTTGGATGCTAAACACTTGTAATGAAGAGCTGAAAAAAAGCACATCTAAAGCCAAAACCCTTTATTAGTTTACACCTTTTTGTTTTGTGTTTGTTTCCTTTTGACTTCCTGTTTTGCAGACAGAATAGGAAGGTGAGAAATCCCTTCTTAGACAGTTGTCACCAGAACAAGTGTCCCCATTGGAGGATTTCCTCACAAAATGTTGGATTTCCCTTCCCAAATCACAAGCATATGTGCCATGCTTTGGAAAAAAATATGAAATAAAGTACACACTGCATATATTTCACTATAAACTGTGTTAAATTAATTACATCCACTTTGTTGTGCTCTAAAATACATATCTAATCCAACGTGATACTATATTTAAAAAAACATAAATCCGTGTTTAAAATTATTAATACGCTATCTATGTATCTGTATCTATCTCGTGTCTTATATTATATCATTAAGTGATCAAATCCTTCACCATATGCGTGTCACCCCAAACAACTCATCACAAAAAAGCCACTCACCTTAGATAAAGACCTTTTTACGAAGTTCTAGAATCACTAATCCCCTAACAGGAATACGGCCAAATCCACAGTCCCCCTAGATCACGTCTGGATCCAAAGTTATATCGCCAACAACCTGCTCTGCATCTGAACCGTGGACTAAATTAAAAAAAATCCATATAATAAAACAGCTTTTATTAAATAAAACTTCTCGCATTAAAAAGATTCCAATCGAAATAAAGTATAATCAACGGAGAAGGAGCTACACTGTGATTGTTACCCGATCCAGCGCTTTGCGTCTCCTACACTCCACCTCCTTCCACGACATAAGACTGCGCCATGGAGTTCCCTTTGCTTTCAGTTGTGGTGACGATGGTCACCTGACAAAATAGAGAGGGGTACATTTTCCCAGCAGGGACACTTCTACAGCTATAAAAACCTGATGGTTGCCAACCCTACCAGTGCTTTCTGGTATAGGGGAACATGTGACAGTGTTCAGTTCAGCAGCCAATTACTGGGTCCAATCACTGGCACGTGGCTGAACAGGCGACGTCAGGCAGCAGCTGACACTGGTAACATTTTAGAGCTGGCTGCGACAGGAAAGAATAGTGAGGGAGCACTGGCAAGGTTAAGTATCGGGGTAGGGGGAACACCTTTGCACACACTGTCACTTTGCCCTGAGTGGTTAAGTGTCTTTTAAAGCATAACATGACGGAGCCCATCCTCCCCCTCCGCAGATGTATACTTGATGAGATCCCTGCATCTCCCAGACGGGCGATGGAGGTAGATGAGCCCCATAGACGTTTACGGAGCTATACTCTGCAGGCCAGACAGTGAGAGGAGTTTGACATGGGATTTAAACACTCCTCGGAGGCCATGGGAACCGGATCTTGATAAGTATAAGGGCCGCTGCACACCTATGCGACACCCTACTGCACAGCAATCGTGCTCGATTTCGGGCGGATTGCCGCACGATAAGGAGTCGTATAAGTGTGCACGGATCACGCTGTGGGTGCCATTATTTTCCAATGGCACCCCAGTATGGAAAATAATGGCGCCCACAGCGCGATCGGTGCACACCTATACGACTCCTTACCGCGCAGCAATCCGCCCAGAATCGTGCACGATTGCCGCGTGATAGGGTGTCTCATAGGTGTGCACTGGCCCTCAATCTGCAGAGGGGAAGGAGTGACTCCGTGATGTTAGGGGATGGGGGTATGGGGAAAAAAAATAAGTGCACTTTCTATGAAATCTCATTCAGTCAGTTTTCAGGTGTAGAGGACAGCAGTGCAACCTTATATTTCCATTTGTACATTCCTGACTGAACAAGTCCTTTCTTTGCCTTTTTCTGTTACAGCTGCTTAACAGAGTCTTTAACATCATGAGGGAGAAAAACCCTGACATGGTGGCCGGAGAGAAGAGGAAGTTCATCATGAAACCGCCTCAGGTCGTCCGAGTAGGAACAAAGAAAACCTCTTTTGTGAATTTCACAGATATCTGCAAACTGTAAGTGACTTCTGGCGAGTGTTTCTTGCCGTTCTATGTTGGTCATACAGCGTTCCTCGTGTTATGTAACGACATCCAATAACAACCTTTTCTACAACGTTCCTTTAACAGATTACATCGTCAGCCAAAACATCTTCTGGCTTTCTTATTAGCTGAATTGGGTACAAGGTGAGTCATCAAACGGCAGCATTTGTAGTATTGATTTTAATATAAGAGACTGACAGCTGATAACTCATCTGACATAATGGACGCTCATCACTGCATCAGACGCCTTCCTCTGCTCATCGCAATAAAAAAAAGTAGCACTTTGTCTCCACTGTTCTGATTTCTTTATTATATTTTGTGTTTGCCCAGAATGGGACTATACATCACCTTTCCGTGAGAAGCTTATGTGTGATGCAGCTAAGGGACCTTGAAAGTAGTGTGCTTTAGTGTACCCTCAAGCCACCCGTCATAAGTACAAACCGTGAAATACATAGACGCTTTTTATTGATTAGCGATTTACTGATTTATAACATTGTGGGTTTTCTCTATTTTGTTCTGTAAATAATTATATTACGGACAGAAATTTTCAGTGATATTTGCCGAAAGGGGCAACTATCAATACATAAGCTTTCCATTTATAGTGGATCAATGCTGACAGATTTGGGCAGATTTTCATATTAACCCAAATGTTGTAATCAGAAATGAGTGAATGAGTCAATTTTTTTTTAAACAAGGTGATCACTGCACTCACAAGTGTCAAGGCAATGCTTAAGCGGTTTCTGTTGAAAGGTCTTGGAAGTTTGCGGTCAGGAAACTATTTGAGCAGACGCAACTGGTTAGGATCTCTGCCTGAACAGTCTCATGCCCTTCCAAAATCTTATGTGTCAACTAAAGCTGGCCATACACCTTTCAATTTCTTTTGTTGAACCAGCGGGCTGAACGGAAGAAACTGACGCGATTCCTCCAACACAAAAAGTGTGTCGATCGAGGAACTGCTGCTGTTTGCATTGTATTCCGACAGGTGCCGCCGGGACATGTCGGAATACCCGATCGGAGTGGGCAGCTCATTGGCTGCCGGCTCTGATCATACAAAGATTTTCCAGCTGTCTCCTTTGATCAGCTGATCGGTGAATCGCCACTGTTGCATTTTATTCTGACGGGTGCCGCCGACACATGTCAGAATACCTGATTAGAGCGGGCGGCTCATTGGCTGCCAGGTCTGATCATACAAAGATTTTCCAGCTGGCTCCTTTGATCAGCTGATCGGTGAATGCTGGCTGAAAGGTCAGCCCCATACACTGGCCGAATTTCGGCCGGTACATTAAAAACCAGCCGAAATTCGGCCAGTGTATGGGCACCTTTTTAGACCTGGTGCCAGCCATTCCCAGAATCCCCTTATTAAAGAAACCGTGGTAGTTGGTCCAGAGGATTTAGCTTTACCATGCATCATCATGGGAATCCTGTACTGAGCATATGAAGGACCCCATTGTCAACCTCTTCTAAAAATGCTCACTGCCTGTCGTGCTACATAGGTTGAAAAAAAGACACATGTCCATAGAGTTCAACCTATAGAGATATGAGAGGGGAAAAAAAGAAACGCCTAGACAGAACGCTATGCCCACAATTACCCCCTGTTGATCCAGAGGAAGGAAAAACAGGAAAAAATTCCTACCTGATCCTATAATGCAATCGGATATTACCTGGATCAACAATCTCTGATGCTTAATATACCTATAAGAACTCAATATCCAGTAATCTGTGCATTTAGGAAAACATCCAGATTTTTTATTTTTTTTGCTACTTTGGGGGCTTTCCTACTTTGTCTGCGATCTGGAATAAGTACGCAGTTCAGAAGTGTTTGTTTTTAAGTGTTTCTTGTTTGCAAGGTTTTTCTGGGTCAGAGGCTTAAAGTATTGAAGCCAGAGGGAGCCAGGCAAGTAGCTTTTTGAAAAGGGCAGAGATGGCATGTCCGTAGTTCCCTCAGTACATATGTGCTCACACTTTTGCTTTAGTTTCCCTTTCTGCCCTTTTCATGTAGTTAATAAAGTTGTAGGTATGAGCCTCTAGCATCTGTTTTCCTGAATCTTTGCACTTTTTTCTTATTTTTGTAGTGGTTCCATAGACGGCAACAACCAGCTTGTCATCAAAGGCCGCTTCCAACAGAAACAGATAGAGAACGTCCTGAGAAGATATATCAGTAAGTGTTGTGGCTTTTAAGTTTGCTACTTGGCAACAAATGAAACTCTTCCTTTCATTGGGCACCATTCACGCTATGTGTAGATGTGCTTTAAGGCAGCCCATTCAATGGACTTGCAGTGGACCTTTATGGACAGAAGAATGGATATGAATGTGCGCATCACAAATCACAGATGGTTTAGTTTATATCTGCATTACACTGCACTGCCTAAGTGTGTTGGGGTGCCATTAATGTTTAAATAAATGGGACCTTGGTGTATTTAGCATGTTAGTGCTTTGCAATTGTGTGAATAGGTCCTTAAACTAAGCAGAGTTGGTATCTTGTTGGGGAAATTAGATATTTCTGATGCCAAAGACACTGATAAATGAGGCCCACTGTTTTTATTGGTATTCTGCATTTCTTAGCGGACCACAGCTGCCACCTTGTGGCTGGTACCTAATACTGCAGCATGCAAAGCAAACCAAAAACTGAAACGTCTGTTAGCCCACGTTCACACCTGACCGTTTTGTAGCGCGTTCTACGCTCGACGAACGCTCTACAAAACGGTCAAAAATATAAATTGCATTGTAGTCAATGGCCTCGTTCCCACCTTGCCGTATTTCCGCCCGTCCCTAACGCCCTACAAAACGGCCCACGCCTGAAAAGGTCCAGGTACTACTTTGGGCAGTTTTGTAGGGCGTTTTCCATTGGGATACAGCCAAGTAGCCTTCGGAATCGCACGACGGTCGCGCGACTTTTTTACCGCGAATCGCGGTAAAAAAAACGCGTGACATACGCGCATATTACAATACGCCTAGGTGTGAATGGGGCCTTATGGCGTTGGGTGGAATGCAAAGTATGTATTCTTATATGTAGCTGCGGGAAAAAATTCAAGTATTCACTGACGCAACATAACCCTTCTATTCTTTACATGTCCATTATTGCCTGTGTAGGAGTAGGAGAGGAAGATGTTCGGAGAGTGATCCGGACCTCACATATCGCTCCGGTCTTTAAAGCTAAAGTAGGGTGTGGTCTAGGTTCAAATGGTGGTTATAGTCCTACCATGGGGACCATGTGTTGAGAAATATAGAGCGGCGATGACGTTAAGAAACGTCCGAAAGCTTCTCATGCACAATAATGCCCATGACCCCTTTGTTTAAACCTCCCCAGCCGGCACTGTAGGTGGATCCTGTGATTTGACGAACCTTGTGAACTCTGACGCTTGATTGGCAATATTGGGAAATGGCTTTACTTTTGCTTGTCTGTTCATAATTGCACCTTTCAGAATGAAGATATCCTGTATATCAGAATAGTTGCTGCTAAATCTAAATGATTTCCCTTGCCTTTCCCTTGCAGAGGAATATGTGACTTGTCACACCTGTCGGTCGCCAGACACCATCCTCCAGAAAGACACCAGGTTATATTTCCTGCAGTGTGAGACCTGCCATTCTCGTTGTTCTGTGGCTAGCATCAAAACCGGATTCCAGGCAGTCACGGGCAAGAGAGCACAACTCCGCGCCAAAGCCAACTAGCCGGCCCGCCCATCTGGTCGGATTTTACCAACTCAGATTGTGGATACTCCTGGCGGCATTACCTGACAGTCAGGGAAGTGCTGCCCTTTATATTATAACGAGTGCCGTGAGACTGGGCAAGAAAATCTTTGCTTTTTTTTGTTTTTGTTTTGTTTTTTTTCATTGTCTTGCGCAAAAGGAATTTTCTGAAATTCCAAAGTGAGGCTGATTTAATTGGATAAAGTCATCGCTCACAGAAAGTTTTACCAGCCATCTCAAGGATAGGGGGAAAGAATATGCATTTTTAACCAGACTTGTGTAAAATGCAAAATACATTAAAGTTATTATCACATTCACAGATCATGTACATACTGTGTGTCTTTTTTTGTGTTGTCGCCATATATTTCCTTTTAAAGTATTAGGCCTCTATTAAATAATGTGCCCTATGGACAGTTAATGTGATGACACAATATTCTTGTGTAGGCCCTTAGATGGCTGTGGTGGAGTAGCCACAGAGGGGACTGGTGGGGGGTCACCTTCAATGTGGGTGGTAAATTTTTTTTTTTTCTTCTGATTATATCATTGGTGTATTAAAAGGTATGTGCTTACATAAACAAGGATATGTATTTGGTTACAAGCTTGTTTATTTGAAATACAGAAAAAAAAAAAGGTAAGGAGAAGGTCCCTGCATTGTGTAGAAGTGATCGCGTGGCTTTATATCCACCCCAATCACTTCTACATAAAAGGGGATAGCTCCCTGTTAAATGATAACACAAACTCTCTGCTATTGCAGCCTTGAGCTGTATATAATCCTTTAGTTGTTATGACACACAGGACGTGTCCTTGGCAGTTGAAGGACTAACGGAAGCAGCACAAACTCTTCTATACTATATGCTGCTGAAGTTGAAAGAATAATTGTGTTTTTGAGAACCGTTCTTTAAATGAAGGCTCCTATATGGTAGTCTGAGCAAGTACTACATCCAGGTACTATGAGGCACTTGCTTCATAAAGTAAACAAACAACTTCCTTTACCTTCCCTGACTGAGCCAAATCCGCCTTCGTGTCACACACAATCCCCTTCCCAGACACTGCAGCTCACAGTGGGAGGTTTCAGCAAGCAATGGCAACGCTGTAAACCCAGAAAGAAATAGACAGAACTAAGTGTGACTAGGTTCTGATTGACAACTACAGGCCTCTGAATCAGCAGTGACAATGCTGACAGCCAGGACCCCCTGCAACATTTTTTTTCTCATCCCACTGTAGTCCAACCAGCCACAGCTTGCTTTAAATTCAGGAGCAATGCAGCATTGTTGCCACCGCATCGCCCTCATCAGGGTTAGAAAACGACTAAAAGTACGGAAATCTTTAAAAAAATCTTTTGCCTTTATTTTAGGAAGAACTAGTGTGTCGCAAGAAAGAGGGACTATAATGGTTCTGGTCAAATATTTGCAGTACAGCATTTGTGGGAGTAAACAACAAGGCTTTTGCAGGCGCGGCAAGTCAATTGGAGGTGGATTTTTACTGTTGACATGCTCTTTCTCTTTCCTTCTATCGCTTTCTCTCTCCAGCTCGCTCTCACCTTTTCTTTCTCTCTCGATATATAGCTCTTTTTTTTTTCTTGCTTGCTCTCTCGCTCACATGTGCTTTCTTGCTTTCGCTCTCTCTCGCTTTCTTGCTCTCGCTTTCTTGCTTTCGCTCTCTCTCGCTTTCTTGCTTTCGCTCTCTCTCCCTTTCTTGCTTTCTCTCTCTCTCGCTTTCTTGCTTTCGCTCTCTTGCTTTCGCTCTCTCTCGCTTTCGCTTTTGCGCTTTCGCGCTCTCTCGCTTTCTTGCTTTCTCTTTTGCTCTCTCTCGCTTTCTTGCTTTCTCTTTTGCTCTCTCTCGCTTTCTCTTTTGCTCTCTCTCGCTTTCTCTTTTGCTCTCTCTCGCTTTCTCTTTTGCTCTCTCTCGCTTTCTCTTTTGCTCTCTCTCGCTTTCTCTTTTGCTCTCTCTCGCTTTCTCTTTTGCTCTCTCTCGCTTTCTCTTTTGCTCTCTCTCGCTTTCTCTTTTGCTCTCTCTCGCTTTCTCTTTTGCTCGCTCTCGCTTTCTCTTTTGCTCGCTCTCGCTTTCTCTTTTGCTCGCTCTCGCTTTCTCTTTTGCTCGCTCTCTCTCTCGCTTTCTCGTTCGCTCTCTCTCTCGCGCTTTCTCGTTCGCTCTCTCTCTCTCTCTCGCTTTCTCGTTCGCTCTCTCTCTCTCTCTCTCGCTTTCTCGTTCGCTCTCTCTCTCTCTCTCTCGCTTTCTCGTTCGCTCTCGCTTTCTCGTTCGCTCTCTCTCTTTTCCTGGAACAAGCGACTTTAAATTGCATCTAAAATTTGGTGTATCATGACCACATTCATGTGTTTTACACATGCAAAGTTTATTCTGATGTGTGTGTTTTTGTATAAGTCATGGAGCTATGGCCCTTTTTAGAAGCTTTAATTTCACCTCGGGTGAGAATCTGTAGCCAGCTGTACAAAATAAAAATGTACTATATCAACATCTTATTTGTTAAGCAAAATACTTTGTTAGAATTCTACTATGTAGTATTCTTGAGGATAATTTACCCAGGTTTGTGATAATTGTGACAAAATACGTGTTTCTAGTCCATTGAGGGACAAAGGAAGTCATCAGGTTATATTGCCAAATGTGGGAGGATTGGACAGTGGCAAACAAAAACATATGCCCAGCCCAGGATAACCCCTCTTATTCTCAACATGCCTACATTTTTTTGCTAGTGTCTTAGGAGGAAAGATGTATTCTTAGCTCTGAGAGAAAAAGTCTTTACATATTTATATTTTTTGCTAGTTTTTTTTTTTAACCAATCAAGATTCTTCCCCATGTTGCTGCTTTAGCTGATCTGTAGGTGGCAGCTATCCAGAGCAGCTTTTCTTTTCAACAGCCTAGCTTTGGAGTGCTGCATCCAGATCCCCCTGTACTGGACTGGACGTGCATAGGAGTGCACTGGATTCCATGTAAGGCACTCTTCAGGCCCTATATTGGTAACCAGTTAGCAGCAGAGCAATTTTCAGGTCCAGAGCCATTGGCATTGACACAGTGCTTGCCCTATCTCTGAAGACTCTGCACTATTGAACACCTTTAACCCCTTCATGACTGAGGCCCTTTTTTCATTTTTTGCACCCATGTTATATTCCACATTTTAGGCCTGAAAATGACCTGGTCTTGGCATTTCTGAATGCCAAGACCCTATAGAATAAAATGGTGGTAGTTGCAAATTTTTATGTTGCGCAATATTAGCGCAACTCCTTGTTAAACCCCAACATTTAGTGAAAAATTTAATTTAATGCCCCAAAACACAACAAAATACCAATTTTTTAAATGACATATAAAAGATGAGGTTACAACGAGTAAAACGATACCCAACATGCATAGGTTACAAATTGCGTGCGTCCGTGAAACGGCAAAAAACTGCAGTACCCCAAAAAGTCAATAGAAGACGCTTTAAAAGCCCCCACAAGTCATCAATTTAGAGATACCCCAAAATACTGGCCCTAGAATTATTGCTCTCACTCCGGCGTGCGCGGCGATACCCAACATGTGTAGCGCGTTCGTCGTTTTCATACGTAGG